AGGGGAAGGAGGTGCTCCAGGTGCTCGAGCTGAGATTTCCCTGCAGCCCATAGTGCAGGCCCTGGTGAGGCAGCTGTGCCCCTGCAGCCCATGGAGGTCCACAGGGATGTAGGGATCCACCCGCAGCTCTTGGAGGAGCCCACACCAGAGCAGATGTATGCCCAAGAGAGGGCTGTTTACCTGTGGGAAATCCATGCTGGAGCAGGCTCCTGCTGGGACCTGCAGACCCATGGAGAGAGGAACCCACAGTGGAGCAGGTTTCCTGGTAGGACTTGTGACCCAGTGGAGACTTATGCTGGAGCAGGCTGTGCCTGAAGGACTGCACCCTGTGGAAAGATGACTCACCTTGCAGCAGTTTGTGGGGAACCATTGCTTGTGGGATGGATTCATGTTGGAGAAGTTCATGGAGAACTGTTTCCTGTGGGAGGGACCCCACACTGGAGCAGTGGAAGGACTCCCTGGAAGCAGGAACAACCTATCATGAACTGACCACAACCCCCACTCCCCATCTCCCTGCACCACAGAGGGACAGGAGGTAGAACCCAGGAAGAAGCTTCTAAGATTTATTTTACTTCTCATTATCCTGCCCAGATTCTGTTAGTAATAAATTCAGTTGATATCCCCAAGCTGTTTTGCTCATGGTGGTATTCAGTGAGTGCTCTCTCCTGGTCCTTATCTCAACTCAGGAACCTTTCATTCTGTTTTCTCTCCCCTGTCCATTTGTGGAGGCGAGTGATGGAGAGGTTTAGATAGTTGCTTGGCATCCAGCCAGGGTCAGTCCTTTAGAGCATTGCAGACAGTAATGGGCCTGGGAGGTTCAACAGGTATGAGTTGCCTAAGTTAATTTGTTCCAAAAAAGTAGCAAATCTTGTAACCAGACAGCTGCTGTATCAAAATGGAGCTTAAGGTGAGGGCCATAGAACTCTAAGGCTGAAAAGAACAAAGCTGGGAATGAGATTCATGTATTAGCTTTGAAGAGTCAAAGGGAGCCTGGGGGAAATGTGGAACAGAAGTACTTCATTCTCTGTATCCTTTTGTGCTAGCATCCATTAATGGAGCAAATTGCAGTGAAGTAAGATTTTGGAGAAAGTAAGTTAATTATAGTCCTGCTTACATAGTTCTGTAGATTAATCACACACAATCCACAAGGAGAGGCAATAGCTAGAGCCCAGTGGAGTTCAGAGCCCTTTATGGAAGCAGTTTCATCTTTCATACAGTTTTAAACCAAAGTGTGACCTTCGTTTGTTTTCTCCCTAGGTAATATCTGCCAACAGTTGCTGCCAGATATTAAATGTCCCACATTTATAATTCATGGTGAGAAAGACCCTTTGGTCCCACAAGCTCATGCAGAATACATTCATAAGCACATCAAAGGCTCTCGGTAAGTTAAATGATGGAATTTTTAGAAATCATTCTTGAAGGAATGAAGTAGTTCAAACTCATTGTTAAAAAAAAATGTATTGGATAAGTTTTCTCTGCCACACAGAGAGCTATTCTGAACTTCCCTAGCAAGGTACAATGCAAATAGGCAGCTGGACTTTTTTTGCAATATAAAAAGTACAATATTTTAATAAGCTCCTTCCTAGAGCCCTCTGAGAGAAACCAGGTTCCTTTTCCTCTTTCCACTACACAAACTACTACTCCCTAAGCTTTATCAAAGCAAGCAAAGTTGTTGTTACGACCTTGCATTCCTTTTGCTGTAAGAGACCTCATTTCTGTCCCATTCAGTAGAACAGGGAATTTAGATACTATGAATGGAGAGAGATTCCCAGTTATTAGAAACACTTCTGTTTGCTCTGCCCTAATAATATGAACAACCTCAGAGATTCTATTTCCACCTGTCCCATGAATTTTCCATGTTTTTAAGGAAAGCAGAATGAGGAAAAAAATGTACAGGTGTGCTCAGAAACATTACTATATAAACAAGAAAAATCTGCTTCATGTGTGTTGTGGTTTAACCCCAGATGGCAACTCAGTACTACTCACTCCCTCACTCATGGGATCAGGGACAGAATCAGATGAGTAAAAATGGGGAAAAAAACCCTCATGTGTTGAGATAAAGACAGATTAATAGCTAAAGCAAAAGCCACACATGCCAGCAAAGTAAAACAAAGACTTAGCTCACTCCTCCCACAGGCAGGCTGATGTTCAGCCATCCCCAAGAAAGCCAGGCTCCATCACACATAGCAGTTACTTGGGAAGACAAGTCATCCCTCCAAACATCCCCCTTCCTTCTTTCCCCAGCTCTGTATGCTCAGCACGATGCCATGTGGCATGGAATATTCCTTTGGTCAGTTGGGGTCAGCTGTCCCAGCTCTGTCCCCTCCCAAATCCTTGTGCACCCCCAGTCTCCTCCCTAGTGGGGCAGTACAAGAAGCAGAGGCGGCCTTGATGCTGTGCAAGCTCTGCTCAGCAATAACAGAAACATCTCTGTATTATCAGCACTGTTTCCAGCACAAATCTACAACACAGCCCCACAACAGCTACTGTGAAGAAAACTGACTCTATCCCAACTAAAACCAGCACAACCTGAAAATTCCAGAAACACTTCCTATAAAAAGCTGTGATTTTACCAGCTGAATTTTGTGAATTTGCATACAAATGCAAGCATTTTATTACTACTTAATAACAGACTGTGATGATTAACATTGGAGAACAGAAGTAGTGGAGGGGGGAAAAAAATGTGGTTTTTATGAATGCGAAGTATGGGGAACTACACTTTGTGTGTTTTGCTGGTGTCATCTCAGTGCAAAAAATGAATGATATCTCAAAGTCAGCCCTGCTGATCATAGTAATGCATTCTGCTACAGGAAAGATGAGAACAAGAGATCTTCCTAACAATCACATGCAGGTGTTTTATTTCATGTCTGCTGGTTTGTCACTCCTACATGCCCTGTTCAGAACAGCTATCATCCTGCTGGGTTTCACTGAGATCCAAAGTACTCCAGTTGCTGACTAAGGCAAATTATTCCAAGAAAATAGACAAGAATCTGATAGCTTCTCTTTGGAAGACAAGCCAAAGAGGAAACACCATCCAATAAAACATAAACCAGCAATTCTTTGCATGTCTTTGTTCTGAAGTGCTCCCCTGCATGCTTATTTGTCAGAAAAGAAACCAGACTGATGGTGTTGTCAGAAATTTAAGCTTGGGCACATGGTCCTATTCTTCCCTGGTTGCATTAGAAATGCCATTTTCCATTGTGAAGCAGAAAGAAAAGCCTAAATTCAGTACATTTTCAGTAACACATGCTTCCACCATCAGTTTTTCTTGTCTTGACTTTTATCTAGTAGTAAAGTAGAAAAAGCTTCTTCTGATTATAGTGCAGATACACTGCTGTTTTTTCTCATGGTGAAAGAGTGTGCCATAATTCAGCATTTGCATGGTATGGCTGGAGTTTGGTAGCATTACAGTAGTCAGAAACATTTACAGCAATAGGAAATAGCATGCACAGTGCTTTAGTTTGTGCATCTGTGTGCTGCTTATCTTTCAAGAAAAGACTTCATGAAATTCAGATGGATCCACTAGAAAAGCTGGGTATGTTCACACACCGCTGCTCTTTTCCCAAAACAAAATAGCACTTGCCACTGCCAAAAGGAGACCAATCGTTCTTGCTATAGTGGGCCTTTGACATGAAGGCAACATAGTATCATTCAAAATGGTTTCAGCTCTATAGGACCTGCTTAGTATGTGGTAGAACAAAACAATTTAAAGAATTTCCCACCTCCATATAAAGAAGTATACATCCCTGATATATAAATTTTGTCTCAGAAAGCAAAAGAAAGTAGAATTTTAGGCATGTCAAACTCATATTCATATTATAAAAATTTAACCTTATTCACAGGTACTACTTCTAAGATTTTGGTATAGCCAAAGAAGTTCTGACTTCCATTTTTATTTTAATGAATGAATGGTTTTAGTTTTGGATCGTCTTTTTGCAGAAAGATTAGACAAAGTACAAATACTAACCAAGTTTGGGTAATGACAAGAACTCTACAATTCACTGCCCGGCACAACTACTGTTCTCTGAAAGAGGCAAAAGTGCTCAGGTACTTTACATACCTTTCAAAGGTGCATCTTACATAAGTTTAGGAACTTACCTTCTCTGAAGATCACCTGAAAGTTTTCTAGAAACTGGGTCTAGGACACAAAAATTTGGTTTAGGCTTATTTTATCCTACCCAGAGAGGGACAAGTAGTATGCTTGCTGTTCCAGCTGTTGCTGTGGTTCACATTCCAGCCACATACATAAGGACAGTACTTAAGAGTTACTACAATTCCTTACTGGGTAACCAAGAGCAAGGAAAATGCAACAAGCATTTTAATTACCTACACTCACAGAATAAAATGTATAATCAGCAGGGGGTTTTTTTCTCTTTTAAGGTTGCTTCTGATGCCAGAAGGAAAGCATAATTTACACCTGCGTTTTGCAAAGGACTTCAACAGAGAAGTGGAAGATTTCTTACGCTGACATGAACTGTAAAACAAGTCAGAGGTGCTTAGCCTTTGCCTTGTTTAGGAATTTTGGTTGGCTTTCCATGTTCAATGGAGTTATAGGTAGGTTTGAATCATGTAAGAAAAACATTAAACATATTTGCATGAGAAGCATATGTCTTAAGAACATAATATAAGCCTCAGTGATCAGAGCATACCACTGTAGTGCAAGACTTCTGACATGTCTTTAAACTTACTTGTTGCCACCCAGCCTGAACAAATGCTCTTTGTCCAATAGAGGTGTTAAGAAAGACAGAAGCCATGATCTTGAATACATGCCTTTATGTGCTCTTAATATCAAAGGACAAAAAACATTGTAAGAATTAGGATTCAGAACTGTTACAGTGAGAAATCTGGTAAAGTCACAAAAGCTGAGAGGATAATTGGGTACATAGTTTCTAGAAAACATGCTTCACCACCACTACCAGAAGTCATTCAGATGCATGCCTGCTTTATAGAAATTTCTTTGATACCAGGCGGCTTAAGCCTCATCCTCCTCTCCTTCCTCTTCAAACTCGCCCTGCTCATCAGCAGTGGCATCCTGGTATTGCTGGTATTCAGAGACCAGGTCTTCCACCTCCCTGCATTTCTCTGGAGAGGCACTGTCACAATCAAGACTACCGTGTTATCAGAGCCTTTCTGAGAACAAAGGTCTCTTAGAGGAGTCGCTGGCAGATGACAGATCTTGTTCAGGGATATTTCCAGCCTCAATGAACTGTCATGGCTGCCCCATTTATTTGAGGACATCTGAGCAAGCAGGCACTTACCCGCAGCCTCATTGTAGTAGACGTTGATCCTCTCCAGCTGCAGCTCACTGTCCCCGTGGTAGCTGCCCGTGGGATCAATGCCATGCTCATCGCTGATGACCTCCCAGAACTAGAGGAAATTTTTGAAAAATGGCAATTAGCCATTTCCAGTGCCAGTGGAAACAGCTGGCCAGTGCCAATCACACACCCCCGGTGCAGCCCATGCATTCCGCGGCGCTGACCACTCCCTTGCATGGCAGAGCAGCTGCCGGGTGGGAAGGTGAGTCAGTGCACAAGGGCTTCGCTGGCCGCAGCAGCTGAACTAGCAGGAGGCTGACGAGCAGCCATAGCACTGAAATGCAAGTGAATTCCTTTGCAGCTTGTATCCAAAGGGTAACCATCTCTAGCCATATCAATTTGGCGTCCTCCCATTGTCTAGCATTGGCTTAAGACCCCGTAGCCACTACAAGACGGCAGCACCTGCACACGTTCAGCGGTGACGGTGTGTGGCACTGAAGCACCTCCCGCTCCCTGCCCGGGCAGCTGGCGCCGTGGCCGCAGAGGGGCGAGGCAGCGCGGGATGGCCGCGGCTGCCTGCGGGAAGGCCGGCACGCCGGGCGGGAGCGCGGACAGATCCCTGCCCCGCCCAGCCCCGCGGCAGCTCAGAGCGGCACGGACGGGGCGGGGGGGCACAGGGGCAGCAGCCACGACGCCTCGGCAAACCCCGGGTCGCTTTTAATTTCGGGACGCGCCGCCCGCGGGGTGCGACCTGCGGAGCGCCCCGCTTCCGCGCCCGTCCCTACCTTGGCGCCGATCTGGTTGCCGCACTGCCCGGCCTGGATGTGCACGATCTCACGCATGGTGCCGGTGTCCGAAGCTACCCCTGCTGCTGCTGCTACCGCCTCCCTCGCCGGCGCTCCCGCACTCGCAGCTGCGGCGGCCGCGCCCCTCGCTGCCCCTTAAATCGGGGCCGTGCTCCGCCCCGCGGTGACGCGCGGCGGGAACGGCGCGGGGCGGGCCCGGGCATTGTGTCCCGCGGCCCCGGCCGGGACTGGTCCGGTCTGCCAGGGGCAGGCTGCGGGCCCCTCCGCATGCTGAGCGCCGCTGCCTTGGGGTGCCGCGGGAGCTTCCCCTTCAGCCGTCGGGGAAAAGGCCGGCGTAGGATACGGCGTGGCTTATCTTGGAGTGAAAAAGAAAAGAAAACAAAACCGCCTAACTCGTCTTTGCACACCTGTTGGAACTCGTGCCCCTGCTTCCTCCGCCTCTACTAGGCCACAGCAGCAAAGCACATGCTGCTATGTTTTATTAGTACCCTCAAGCATATATTTCTACCTCAGGCCTGCTTAATCATGTTTCAATATGTTTGAAGCACAAGCATAATTTTTCCATAGCTCAGGCACCTGAAACAAGCAGAGATTGGGCGGTGATGTTAAAGCCCACAGCCAGTTTCAAGCACGAAACTCTGTTTTAGATAGTGCTGCTAAACGTGCATACAAGAGGCTCTAATTTCAGGAACACAGAGGACTGGCATAAAATTTTATACTGCTGCTAAAGAATGGCTTTTTCTGGGAGTTGTCCAGCAGTGATATCAGTTTAACACACACAGGAATGGAATGTGTTTCTTTTTTGAAAGCGAAATTATCTTCTGTGTTACCAGACACCTCATTTTGGAAAACTTTGAATCCTGCTAGTAGCATCTCTGCTTGATCTCTCATACCAAAAAAAAAAACCCCAAACAAACAAACAAAAAAACAACCCCAAAAACAAAACAACAACAACAAAAACCACACACACCAAAAAACAACAACCAAAAAAAAAAAAAACAAAAAAAAAAAAACACACACCAAAAAAAACCACCCACAA